CTCCCCCGTCCTGGCCCCGAGAAGCCCGCTGTCCTTCCGACTCACGGCAGGACACGCACGTCTCCCGTCTGCCCTCCCAGGCGTGTCCGGGGCCACCGGCTCAGCGCTGCGGGAGGCCTCCTGGATCAACCGCAGCCTGGCGGCCCTGGCGGACGTGCTGGGCGCCCTGGCGGAGCGCCGCGGCCACGTCCCCTACCGGAACAGCAGGCTCACCCGGCTCCTCCAGGACTCCCTCGGTAACCGGGCCGCCCCGCGCACCCCAGAACGGAGGGCCTGTATGTGCACGTGACCCCCGCCCCGCACGTCCCGGACACCCCGGCCCTCCTGGGGGGCGGTCTCAGCCAGGTCCCTGCCACGGTCCCCGTCCGTCCCCGTCTGTCGGTGGCTCTCGTGCTGCTGTCTCGGGCGTGTTGGCGGGTGCCTGTCCTCTGCAGTCCGTGGGGGGCGAGTTCCCGCGCGGTGGCTGCCAGCGCGTCTCCCCTCGCAGCACTGAAGGGGAGGGACGGCTGCTCCCGTGCCTGCTGCGGGCGGCGCACCTGCTCGCGCCGCGGCTTCTCTGGGTCTGTCGGGGCCGGGGCCGGAAGCGCAGACTGAGCCGGCCGAGCCGGGGGGCCCTGTGGGGCTGAGCCGTCCGGCCTGGCGAGAGCAGGGTCGGGGCTGGCGTGTCCCCCACGCTGTGACAGTCGGCTGGGAGGAGGAGGACGGACGGGAACAGTTGTCACTACGTAAAGCGGCCTCAGCCAGGCCAGGGCGTCCTCGCCAGCCTGGCCCGGGCAGCCCTGGGCCCCGCAGGACAGGCGGCAGCAGACGCGGCCGGGGCAGGGAAAGCAGCCCCCACAGAACGCAGGTCCTCCCACCTCGGGAGTCACAGAGGGCGGAATGTTCTAGGCTCTTTCTCTGACTCTCGCTGCAAATTGGCATCTCTGAATGGTAGATGCTGGAGCTGCTCACAGCTGCACATCTTGTGGATTCAGCTTCTGAGAGAGACAGAGATACAAACCTCACAGCTGGGGAGGCAAGACTGGGGCTGGGGGCAGAGCCCACCGTGACCTGTGACCCTGGGCTGGGGGCAGAGCCCACCGTGACCTGTAACCCTGGGCTGGGGGCAGAGCCCACCGTGACCTGTGACCCTGGGCTGGGGGCAGAGCCCACCGTGACCTGTGACCCTGGGCTGGGGGCAGAGCCCACCATGACCCATGACCCTGGGCTGGGGGCAGAACCCACCATGACCCGTGACCCTGGGTGGGGGCAGAGCCCACCGTGACCCATGACCTGGGTGGGGGCAGAGCCCACCGTGACCCGTGACCTCAGGTGGGTCTGTAAGCTCTGAAGGGGCAGAGTCGCACCGGGAAGAGCAGCTGCGCCCCTCCCGCCCAGCCCCGAACCCTGGACGGGGTGGTGGGACCTGGCAGGGCCGGGCACCTGGCCCACGCCCGCCCGAGAGGTGGCCCCAGCCACGCCCCGAGGGCGCCCGGTGGCTCTCAGCCCTGCAGCCTGGGCAGCCGCCTGCAGCTTTCGCACCCGGCTCCTCGCCCTCGCGAGTGGTCACGTCTCTCTTTACAGGAGGCGACGCCAAGTTCCTGGTGATCCTGTGTGTGTCCCCCGGCCAGAGGCGCCTGGCGCAGACGCTGCAGGGCCTGGGGTTCGGGGCCCGCGCGCGGCAGGTGGAGCGCGGCCCAGCCCGAAGGCGGCCCAGCGCCCGGGCGGGGGAGGGGAGCACGGGCTAAGCGTGTGAGGAGCCTCCCTCCCTGGACACGTGTTTCCTCGCGGTGCTCTGTGACGTCTGTGCCCCTAGCAATAAACGGCTTCACAGGCCCCGTAGACCCGGCTTTGTGCGCGGGAGCCGTGAGAATCGCTGGCGGGGGGCCCGGGCGCCACCACGCGGGGCTTCTCGGCCCTCTTTCCACAGACACCTGTCGCCACAGATGCCCTGCCCAGGCGGTGGGGTCCTGCATGTGCCAGGTTGGCGCCTGTCGTCTCATTTGACACGGGGTGGGCCCCTGCGTTTCCCAGCGTGGGTTCCGGGACCTTGGGCTCTCCCAGGGTCTGTGCCGGCTGCAGCCCTGAGCTCAGACAGACGCCTGCTCCGCCCCCGGCCCAGCTTCCAGGCCCGCAAAGGGAGGTGAGGCCCAGGGCGGCCCCACGGCGCCTGCCAGCCTTCAGGGACACCGTGGAGCGCAGGGCCTGGCGCTGCCGGCCGGCTGGTCCTTAGATCCTGCGGCGGGGCCACGTGGGAGCCTGAGCCCACACCCCCCGGGACTCCCTGAGCCCACGGCCCCCGGGACTCCCTGAGCCCACGCCCCCCGGGACTCCCTGAGCCCACGCCCCCC